ATTTATATTTCCATGGGCGTTTGACAAGGTTCAACATAGAAGCTTAAAGATTAAAGATTAAAAAATCAAAAGCATTGTATGTAAATAAAAAGTGAACTGGTGTATGCATAGAAAACAGAATAGTGACAAGAGTGTAATAACTAGTCTTGTAATCAATGAAGCATCACATCGCTTCTAATTATTACTATTGGAGACGCTATTATTTCATATACTATCATATGTGAAAGTTGTTGTAGTCAAATGCACAGAGTGCAGGTGGTGAAAGTGTTTTTTTATGAATATCAGACCACTGGCAATGAATTAGTGGAAGCACTGTACGGCAGGTGCTTAGTAGTTTTGTATTAACTCAAAGAGAGATGCAAATTCATTTTTATTAATTAAAAAAGTCATTAAAAGTCTATATCGTGTTCTACACTGTATACACAGGATTTACAGTGAAAAGGGAACCACGGTCAGGGAGTGACGTGCAGTACAGTAATCACAGTACAGTAATCACAGGTGAGACTGACTGTCAAACACTAACAGTATAATTCTTACTGCTTGACCCAAAGCTAAAAGACGGAATTCTGAAACACTGTTTCTGGCGCAAGGGTGTCGCTAACTTGTAACCTTTTACTATTGATGATAGATGGGGATGAACATTGTATTTTGAATTAAACTGTAAACAGATCGTAAATCCTCAATTAAAGTTTTAATAAGGTTATTTCATCAGCAGTGTAGTTAAAAGTGTGGAACGGAATTGACTCCAGTTACTTGTGTCGGAAAGACTGAGGGATCCATGCCAACTCCAGGCTTAATTAACAGTCCGAAGCCAGGTGTGATTAATCTTTATCCGCCTTCAATTAGTCTCCTTTAAAACTTGCTCTGGCAGCAGTATTGCGTCTTTGTCCTTAAATACCGGCTTTGTAGCACCAGGAAAATATTCCCGGGATGTTTCACTTTATTTGGGTAGCAGAATGTCGGACAAGTTCTCTTCCTATTTTGACAGTAACAGTTCAAAACGAAACGAGAGAAGGTATCAGAGTTTCAGAATAATTAAGGAGGCGGAAAGTAACTTGATTTTAGAAAAGGCCTTCTGTCTTATAAAGAAAAGCTGAATTCAAACTAAACCAGTAACTTTCTTTTTTTCAAAAGGCGAAATGGAACGGATCATTGTTGCTGCTATTTAAAATGGCTACCTGTATTTTTTTATGCTTGCTCAGGTCTTAGTGGTGTTTTAGCAGGTGTCTTATTCCCTTGTTCCTCCTCCTCCCCGGCCTTCCTGTCCTCTACAACAGCCTGGACGCCGAAGCGCAGAGCTCCCGTGTGGCGTGAAACTGGACAGATGAGCGGTCAGTTCGAAGGTGAGAATCCAACCGGTCTGCACTCTGCTTGCAGAGCCTCTTGCTTCCAGGTTTAAAGAAAGAGCTTTGTGTTTGTAGTCGGACAAATCCCAGGTCCAATTGAATTTTCTCAGCATGGCAAAGCAGTAGATTGTGAAGAAGCCCACAGCTGCGCTCACTTAATTTGAGGGTGGGGGGAAATTCCACGGGGAAATGGTCAGTAAAGGTAAGACACGTTTTCGCTCCGTTGAACACTGCGAATAAACCTCATTTTTGCTTTTCAAATGTGGTGTTAACTTTGTATAGGTTAAGGCGAGAGGCCAGAACTTGCGACTACATGCGTTAGAAACGCTTTTTCTACACTGTTCAAGCAGCAGCAGTTGATCCCGGAGACCAGGCGCACTCACCTCGCGGTCCCGGGTGCCCACCGTCTCTCCGGCCGGCTGTCCTGACTGAAACGTTTCCTCTCCTGGAGCTCCAGACTGCGGGCCGCCGGAGCGTCTGGATAACAACCGGTCGTGTTACACCTGTACTGTTTCTATTTCGATTTTTGCAATAAACTAGTCTTTGGATTGTTTCTTAAACCAATTTGTTTGGGTATCTTGGATAACTTCATGTTGGAAGTGAGCCTCCACTTAAGATCGTCCTCCTTTTTTTTTTTTTTTTATTTTTTTTTTAGTGAGCCTACATGCGTTTCCTCTCCCTCTGCACACGGCTCAGAGTGGCTGTCGGTTATGAATTTAGGATGCTTCATCTTCATCCGTGGCAGTCGTTGTACAAGCTTCTTGCCTGTCCAACTCCAGCTGTTGCTTGCATGTACACAAAGGCATGCACCCTGTGGACAAGCAACTGCCTGAAAGCAGTTCCTATTGGTAAAATAATTCTTTAGAGACACTTGCGTTTGTTTAATGTCATTGGCAAGAATTTGAGAGTAAATAAGTGAGAGGTTTAATGTGCTTTCCTGTGGCTGAGCACACCATGAGAAAAATGATGACAGTCCTGTATGAGCAGAGCAGCCTGTCCTCTCAAAGAGCACTGCATGGTTATATAACACCGTTATGATGCTATAACACACACCCCCTATCTACTTCACAATGCTACACCTCTGAACACCATTCCACGTTTAAGTAGGCATTTTGAGAGCCAACTCAAGCATCTTAACTAATAAAAATGCACATTTGAAGGAAGAAACACTCAAACTCAAGTGTTTAACTATTGGTCAGTGACCAGAACATTCAAGGAATTAACTTTTAATCTGCATGCAGCAGAATCCAATTCAACAGTTCTTTAAAATATCTGATTAGTACTCTATGACAACATCAAATGTAAATCTATCTTAATGTCTTTCTGGGTCTCTGAGGTCTCTGTAGTCCCCCACAACATGGATATAATGAAAGAAACTGGAAGTTTACTCAGAAAAAGACATTTCAGGAGGAAAACCATTCTTTGTTTGCTTACAAAGTTAGTTTACATTTCCTTTTTTTCACAAAACAAAACACGAAACACTAAACTATCCACTGATTCCTTGAAAAACAAGAGATGTGAAGAGATACAACTTTCAACATTTGTTACTGCAGGTGCAGAGCTATTTACAAAACAGAAAATGAGTATCAAGTGATAAAATGATCACTCCATTATTTTATGTTTTCATAGCAACATTTCTTAAAAGAATTTGGAATGTGATATCTTTTAAACCCCTGAATGACAAAACCCTGCATCATAACTCCCTCTTAATGGTGTAAGAACCTGCTGTTCAGAATGACCTCTCATGCAGGTGAGGCTGCAGACTGTGTTGAGTGTCCAGATGGTCCTCATGATCCCCCCAGCTCAGGAACATAGGGGAAAGGCCTGTGATCTTCTGCACTGTTGAGAGTATAGAAATACAATCAGAAATCACTGGAGATGTAATCATTCCTACATCAACAAATATGAAAACAGATTTCAGTATGAGAAAAGGCTACTTACTGTAGAACCAAACTGCTATGTAACCATTTCATGTCTGTTTGGTGTATATATAATTGATATTGAAAATCATTATGAGCCTAAAAATCAGTCAGTTTCACACAAGTAAAGGTTAATCTGCCCAATGTCCCTTTGTGATATTTAGATAGTTACTGGCCTTCCCCAAGCTAGTTTTACACTACCCCAGAGCACTGATATATACTGTATTTATACAGACACCCACAATTAACTGCAGATACAAATATAATTCCCACAGTTCAAAACAACTCATGACAGGTTTTCTGTAGAACTGGGTTGTCAGCAGCAGGGAGGGACAGTTGCTCAAGCCCAAAGGAAAATAGAATCAACACAAAGCCTATTGTTTAATAGTTATCTATGATGAATCATATAGCAGTACTTAAATGTATGTATGCAAATTATTAGCTCAAATAACTGTGATAAAAAACAAGCTGCAAGACCAACACAACCCAATTAAAGTAGTCTAAAATAAATTTGTGTTAGGACAACGTGGCCCTTAAATCATACCATTCATGGTCATAACCTTTTATCTCATCTAAATCTGCATGGGGTTAGTCTGGACTCGCCATGCTTAGTACAGTAGTCAGTGCAGGAGCATGTAAAATTACCTGATAGCAACACCGAGTCCCAGATAAAACTTCAAGAGTAGCAATTGTAGGACACAGGTACTTCAGGCGTCTTTGTACTGGGGCTGTATGTAAATGTAAGGATGTAAATTATTCGCTCACATATTCGCCCAGACAAACCATAGCTCCAAGAGGATGAGTTGAAATGACCTGTTTGAGGCCTGTAGGACCCAGGATATTTAAAGTTCGCTGCAGGAGTCTTTGTACTAGGGCTTTGGTATGGTGTTGTGGGCCACAGGAAAGAGTGCCACCTACTCGTACACTGTTTAAAAACTGACAGCCACCATGCAAATAAAACACACTTTTTCATAAAATCTTAGGAATCTTACCACTGTGCTGGTGCTGATGGTGAGAGTCTTCCCCAACCTCACTCACAAATACTGTCCCCGACCAGGAAGAGAATTGTATATCCACTGAGTAATTGTGTGATGTTCTCCCATATTCAAAATCTTCCTTACCAACCTGTTTGGCTGAATATTGTTAAATGCAGATATGTCAGCAAGAAGTACACACACCTAGGATGACAGAGTATCTAAATGCTTGTACTCTTGATTTAACAAAACAACAGACTCTTCTTCCACTCCTTGTTTCGCTCTGTAACACAAACTGACAGGGGTCCCTGAGTGCACTGGTTGCAGACTGAAGATGTAACAAAACTAATTGTTCAAATCATTTCATTGTGACTGAAGTTAATGTAACTGGACAGAAATATTTTCACTTAACAGGTTATAGATGTTTAAGATAGAGTTATGCCAATGTGCAGATGTCTTCCACAAACTCAGAACTGTATATATGTCCAGTGACGTTTGGAATAATTTATAAAATACAGGGCTAAGCTCTTCATGACTTGTTCATTTCTGCAAAGTATTGCCTTCCAGATTTTCCAGGCACATTCATTTTCGAGTCCTTAAAACACAAAAAACACACACTTCACTTGTTTCGATGTTACAGTAAAGAGAGACACACCAGTGGGGTCAATCACATTGTTAAAAATAGGTTCTCCTGGTTCTCTTCTCTCGAACAGAGCAAAAAAAAAAATCAGTTCATTTACATAGTGGGGTGTGTGCTCAAGCCAGCTCCCATTTCTAAGGGATACCTGGCCAATCATGGTTTAGATCCTACACCACGCCTCCTGCACATTATTTCTATTCATTAGTTTCTCCACCTTGGAATTATAATCTCTTTTATCCTGTTTCAATTCTTCCTATATATTCCTCTGAATCACTTTCCCCTCTCAATCTATTATAGGTTTGAATTCCTGCTCTTTCTTTTGGATTAGATCAGATCGTCATGTTGGTGGTTTGATATGAACTTTACAGGCATTCTTAATGTTACCATAACAGGGATCTAATGTCCTAGAACCTCTTGTGTAGCCTTTTACAGACTGATGATCATTAGGGAGAACTGACTTAAGCAAACAGCCATTGAAATCTCCCAAATGAGTTTATGAGGCAGTTTTATTATCGGCATCAGGAGAAATATACAGAGGAGTTGCAAACACCTGCCCAAACTCCCATGGCAGGTAACGAGGTCATAAAGAAACAGACAGGAGTCCCCGATCTGGTGAGTTAAAGATTTGTCAGTTCAAAAGGTCTGTTTTTTTACTTCTTTTATCCTATACTATCTGCTCTTGATTATTTCTTTACCTTTTTCTTTTTTCTTCTTCTCTCTTCTCCCCCTGCCCTTTCTTTGTTTTGCTATGGTTTAGTTACATACAAAGTCTTTGTTTTCCTGTTGTCTTCCAACATGTTCTCTATGTTCTTTTCCAAATGGGAAATCATGTACTCACCAAATCCTGTGAGCTGTATTTTGTGTGCAGCTTGGCTTCAGTTTCTACTCTCTGTCATCTCTGGTTTTGATTTATATGGCCTGCAGTTATGAGCGCTGCTCTGTCTTGTTCCACTTCGATCATCATTGCGGTGTTTTATGTTGCAGTACTTCAGTTCGCCACCTTAATGAGATCAAAAGTCTGAGCAAATTCTTCTTAAAGTACCTCCCATTCAGTGCAGTGCCCGTGGTGGCTGGCATCACAAAAGTTCTACAAACAGAAATTCATAGTTCAGAACACAGTGATGTGAAAACGAACATCAAAAGTGTACCTTCCAAGAATAAACATTTTACAGGAATATTCACACATTCTACCAGTGAAGCAAGTGGACAGAGTGATACTTAGAGAATCCAGTTCATGTCCAAACACTGCTGGAGAAGTCCAGGTGCACACGTGATACTGACAGAAACAAGAATACACGAGGGAAGAGCTGGTATTTTACAAAGCGCTTTACATTTGACAGGTGCTTTGTGCAAAAGAGCCTGGACTGTAAAACCCAGGCTGTGTGCCAGCAGAGCAGAGATACTCCTACCTGCATTGTGGCAGCTCTGTCCTCCAACGAGCTCAGTGTGCAGGATCTCTCCTTCCCAGAAGAAGAAGCCTTCAGGTCTGAAATAATCCACAATGCACACACTCTCGATTAAAACTGGAGAGAGTCCTCTCATTAGCAAGTGAACACTAACATGTTTCAGTTTCTCTCATTAGAAAGTCAGCACTGTCACAAATATAGGGATTCCTAATTTTTTTCATTTCTCATCTTTCACACTCTTGGTGTAAACTTGGCATTCTGCATGCATGTCCAGGTCAAGCTATGAGCAGACATCCTGATACAGGCGAGTCTGGGTTTTCTTCATTTTGTGTCTTGTGTTTGAATGGTGGCTGTATCATCTTTACAAGATGACTACTGGACTGTTCCAATTGTAAAAATCTGCATGAATGTCAAAACCTGCCTCAAGTGTAGGTGATAGCGGACAATATTAAATTGTTTTTTTTTTTCAATTATAACGGCACTTGAATACATATGAGTCAGATTTTATTCCTTTTAAACATTTAATAACTTTTAAATGACATACTTTTTACTTAGTTTTCACTGCATTTACTTGATTTATACTGAGTCAATAAAAATCGTCTCCTGCTTCAGTGATGACAG